AGGTGTGAGGTGGTACCTCTGGGCAGCTCCCTCCGTCCCCCACCCTGAGGCGCTCTGTCAGCGCCTCTGATAACCGATTGTTTGCCAGTGTGTCTTCAGTGCCCATCGTGGCCTCTGAAATGTATTATTGCTCTTAATAAATGTAATTTAATATATCCACTGGCTATATTTAAGCAAGTCATTTGAAACACTTTAGCAAGGCATCCTGAAGGAATGAGGTTTAATATTACTCGTAACAGTCTTTTTGTGTCAAGCTAACTAATAGCGATTTTTAAAGATCAGTCCAAAGAATTCAATTCCAATATTCAAAAAATAAATGGCAGCAAAAGTCCAAACACATATATTTTATGCAATTTTTAGTATCCATTTATTTGCAAAATTCAAGTGACTATAGCATGCCACTGCTCTTACGATTGCAATTAATTTAGTTGTTCTTAGCTTCCTGAGTGGACCAGTTTTCAAAAAATGGCCAGATGGTAAAAACCACCCACACAGATTTTTTACATAATCCCAAACATCATGTGCACAGAAATTAAAGGGAGGAGGGATACCTAGGAGGGCTTTTGCTACTTGTCTCTAAAATAGCTATGGATTATTGAAAGACTGTGGTGGATTTGGTATTCACAATGATGTTATTGATTCTTGATATAGAAGGGTATAATATTTATATAAGTAGCTGTAACGCTGTGTTTATAGATCTCTGCACCTCTGCTTGTGCAATGGGGCAAGCAGTTTCCATCTGGACTCTTTAGGAAAGAGACCGCCTTTCCTGAACACCTTTGGTCCAGCACTGCCCCCTGGTGTGGTGAAGAGAGAGGGGTAACAAGCTTCCTTTGGAAGTACACGACTGTGTTTCCGTATTGGCCATTCTAAAAGGAGGGATGACCAGAATGAGGCGGCCAAAATATGATGAATTAAATACAACTCCAATGCTCTGTGACATGTACAATGAAGGACTGTCTGAATACCTGTATAAACATTGCAGAATAAGGCAGGAGCAAGCATTTGTAGTAAGCACTGATTCATGTCACAGTACTTATAAATAAAAGTGAGGAGCTTTAGTTAAAAGAAAACATAGCAAAGACAAAGAGTCTACAGAAACAAAAGGGGCTGCCCAGATAACTCTCAGATTGAGGAAAATCTTAAAGGAATATGCAGGAAAAAGGACAGGATAAAAGTCATCAAGGGCAAATGCATTATAACAATGTTAATAATAACTAACATTTACTATGTGTTTATACAAGAACATAATATTTATTTGGGCTTCTTCAAAATATATTAACAAAGTGTATCATTTTCTCAATAATTTCTTATATATTTTATGTTAGATTTATTCCTCAATGTTTTAATATGTTTTTTATTATAGATTATAACTTTATGAGTTCTTCACAAAAACTGTATCTATTTAGCATGTACAACGTGATACTTTGATATACATAGTGAAATGATTACTGCAGTCAAGCTAACATTTCCATTTCATCAGGTGTGTGTGTGTGTGTGTATGTGTGTGCATGTGTGTGTGTTCAGAGCCCCTGAGATCTAGTCCCTTAGCAAACTTCCAATGTTTGACATGCATTAACTACAGCCATCATGCTACACTCTAGATCCTTGGAACTTATTTGCGCTGCATAACTACAACTTTTTACTCTTTGAACATCTCCCCGTGTCCCCCCACCTCCCCACTCTCGGTGACCACCGTTCCATTCTCTGCTCCTGTGAATTCAAATTTTTTGGATTCCACACATAAGTGAGATGATGTACTATTTTTCTTGCTATGTCTGGCTTATTTCACTTCACATAAGGTCCTCCAGGTATATCCATGTTATTGTAAATAGTAGGATCTCCTCTTTCGAGGCTGAGTTATAGTCCATTGTCTGTATTGGGTTGGCCAAAAAGTTTGTTTAGTATTTTTGTGTGATGGCTCTGGTAGTGCTTAGTTGTCTTTAACTTCATTCAAAACAATTTTGTTAGATTGTATTGTGGCAGCTGTCACATCAGCATGTATTTAAAAAACTTATCAAAATTGGTGAAATTTTGTGTAGCCATTTTAATATTGAAGATGGAAGAAAATGTGCAACATTTTCAGCATATTATGCTTTATTATTTCAAGAAAGGTAAAAACACAACTGAAACACAAAAAAAATATTTGTGCAGTGTATGGAGAAGGTGCTGTGACTCATTGAATATGTCAAAAGTGGTTTGTGAAGTTTTGGTACTATTGACATTTTGACCAAATAATTCTTTGCTGTGGGGCTGTCTTATGCACTGGAAGATATTTAGCAGCACCCCTGGCCTCTACCCACTGGAAGCCAAAAGCAGGAGAGAGCCGACATACTGAAAATATCCAAATCAATAGCTATTGGTGAAAATGAAAAATGTGCCTTTTATTTTATAGAAAAAACTAAGCAGACTTTTTGGGCAACTTAACACATACCACAAAGCCTTATCCATTCCTCCATCCACAGACATTTAGGTTGTTTCCACATCTCGGCCATTGTGAATAATGCCACGATGAATACAGGAGCACTGACGTCTCTCTGAGGTACTGACTCCATTCCCTTTGGATATACACCCAGAAGAAGGGATTGCAGGACCCTATGGTATTTCTATAACTAACACTTATTGATTAGACAGCACGCGCCAAGCACAATTGCAAACATGTTACCTGTGTCAACTCAGGTAAGCCTCCCAACACTGAGCAGGTGTTATTTTGACTGCCATCTCCATTTGAGAAGAGATGAATGAAGAAGACATCACTTGCCGAGGTCCCACAGAGAGGAAGCTCAGGGTCAGGCCTTACCCCTCGGGAGCCAGGTTGCAGACCCCAGGTTCTCCACGCCGAGTGCCCCTCCTCTTGGGGGCTTTGTGGCACACTGAGCACACTCAGAGCGAGCCAGCTTCCCAGACTCGGCACTGTGAGGGGCCTGCAAACAGGGCCGAAGCAGCAGGAGGCTGCGCGAGCAGGTGCACAGAGGTGAGACAGCACCATCCACGAGAGGAAACGTCACTGGGCAGCAGAGTGCAGCAAGACAATCCAGCTTCTCCTCTCCTCTTCGTTCATTCCGTAGAATAGATGAGGGAGTGAACAAAGCATGAAGGACAATAATAAAAGAACTGGGAAAGTGCATATAGGTGTACGAGTGAAAAGAGGCACCAACCAGGGGAAAATATGACAAAACAACATCCTGTTCAGGAGTGTCTGACCTGTGGCCTGTGGGCCACAGGCTGCCCAGGATGGCTGTGAATGCAGCCCAACACAAATCGTAAATTTACTTAAACTGCTATGAGAGTTTTTTTGTGATTACCTGTCACAATGTATTCAATGTGTGGCCCAAGACAACTCTTCTTCCAGTGTGGCCCAGAGACACCACAAGGTCGGACCCCCTGCCTGATCGGTTCTCTAATCTCTGTCGAGTAACTAGCCAGGATCCTTCCTAGGGCTTGCGGAAGGGAACATGAAATCAGTCCATGCTCCCTTAGAGAGCGAGGGGAATTAGAGACTCTGGAAAGACAGGGCTCACCAAGTCCTTGGAAATGTTTCATAGGGGAGAAAGCCAGACTTTGGAAATTGCAGCCAAGTATAATCTTTAGGAATGTTAAGAATATCCTAGATGTAATCCTAGAGAATGTTACACATCACAAATGCCTCATTTGTGAAAATGTCATTCATTTAAAGAATATTTACGGAGTACCTGTTCTGCGCAGTGAAGCTTCACGAAGCTTATGTCTTAGTGGGGGTGGATTTAGGCAGCTAGTAAATGAATATATGCAGAAACATACAGCAAGTGACGTGTGATGGGAAGCCCCCAGGTGTGGGTAAGGAACGCCATTCATGGGATGTTCAGGGAAGGTCTGTCTGAAGGTGACTTTTGAAGCGACCTTCTGAGAAGAAAGGGAGACACAGGAGTACGTACAGGATAAGCACTCAGTGAAAATGAATGGGCCTGAGGTTGTGGGGCAGGGTGCCTGGTGAGTTCACAGAGCGTGCAACAGGTCCATTTGGCTGCAGTGGAGTGAAGGATGAAGCGAGGACCACAGACAACACCTGAGAAGGGAGAGAGGCCCTGATTATGTATGTGGGACCTGCGGGCCACGGTAAGGACTTAGCTTTAATCGTAAGGAAGATGAGAGGCTCTGAAAGGTTTGAATGGAGCAATGGCATGACCTTACATTGTCACAGGATCACTATGGCCGCTTTGTGGGAATGGACTCAAGGAGTGGGCTGGGGAGCAGAGCGAGCCATAAAAGGCTCCTGCAATGATCCAAGCCACATGGTGCCCCCTGCCCTCTCCCTTCATGGCCAGGTGGGAGTCTGGTTCATGGTAACACTCCCCTTGCCAAGCACAGTGCCTGGCATAGCAATGATGTCTGAATGACATCTCTGACAATGGCAGTCATAGCAGTCATACACTGGTGCCGGGGAAGGAAGCATGTACTCGTCCGTATTAGAAACAAAGTCTGTGATCAGAGTCATGCGCAGAGGTGATAGAAGGCATGCAAATTGAAACCATAGTTTCACCATTTCAAACCGTAGTTTGTCGAGACATATGTTTTGCCTGCTAGCCATTCCCTTGAAACTCATAAGCAAATCCTAGTCTCTTCTCCACCTCTGCAGGTGCAGATGGGCACGCAAAGTAGGGCTTGGGTAATGGAGCCTGTCTTGTTTGCATTGCGCTGCTGAGCCATAGCCCCCTGAGCAGGCACCAGTGTATGACGGCTATGACACCTAGGTCTCTTAAAAGCTTCTGCATCACCCAAGAGATACAACCGCCCTTCCTCTACTCTTACGATGAGACTTTGTGTGTATCCGAGAGGTATTCTAAAGAAACAACATCCCTCTAGCTTTCCTGTCAGAACTTTCTATGCATTCACTTGAGTGTAGATCCCAGGCAAGAGCCAAATGCCTTGTGAAGGAAAGGTCCTGGCTGAGAAAAGACATTCCATCCTCCCTGCTGTGAGGACTGTGTGAGTCTTAGGTTGGCCAAGTAAGAAGCCACATCATGTGGATGCTGACTCCTGTCATAACTGTGTCCTATGAAGTCAAGAGTCTATTTCTGTTCCTTTCAGTCCTGGAGTTTGCAGCTGGTATCCTGGCCAACACCTTCATTTTCTTGGTGAATTTTCGGGACATGGTGAGGAGGCGACCCCTGAGCAACTGTGACCTTGTTCTGCTGATTCTCAGCCTCAGCCGGCTTTTCCTGCATGGGCTGCTGTTACTGGATGCCATCCAGCTTACCCTGTTCCAGAGTATGAAAGACCCACTGAACAGCAGCTACCAAATCATCATCATGCTCTGGATGATCACAAACCAAGCTGGCCTGTGGCTCGCCACCTGCCTCAGTCTCCTCTATTGCTCTAAGATTGTCCGTTTCTCTCATGCCTTCCTGCTCTGCTTGGCAAGTTGGATCTCCAGAAAGACCTCCTGTATGCTCCTGGGTGCTGTCCTTCTCACCGGTGCCTGCACTGTCATGTGCTCTTGGGATTTTTTCAGTAGATCGCAAGTCACAGCCACAACTACGCTATCCATGAAGAACAATTCAGAACATGACTTGCAAATTGAAGAACTTCGTTTCTTTCATTCCTTCCTCTTCTGCAGCCTGGGGTCCCTCCCACCTTTCTTGTGTTTTCTGGTTTCTTCTGGGGTGCTGATTGTCTCCCTGTGGCGCCACATGAGGACCATGAGGGCCAAGACCAGGGACTCCCACGACCCCAGCCTGGAGGCCCACATCAAGGCGCTCAAATCCCTCATCTCCTTTCTCTGTGTCTATGTGGTGTCATTTTGCGCTGCCCTCATCTCGGTGCCTTTACTGGTGCTGTGGCACAACAAGGCCGGGGTCATGGTCTGTGTGGGGATAATGGCAGCTTGTCCATCAGGACATGCAGCCATGCTGATCTCAGGCAATGCCAAGCTGAGGAGAGCTGTGGACAGCATCTTCCTCTGGGTTCAGAGCAGCCTAAAGGTAAGGACAGACCACCAGGCAGACCCCAGGACACCATGTCTCTGTTGAGAGTGGGCATGAAATGGGGTCTTCATGAATACATCTCTCACTGTTCAGAAGCCTATTCCAATTTCTTCTGCAAACCATAACTGAGCAGTCTCTTCGTTCTACATCAAGGGACTCCCTCACAGAAGAATAAAATAATAAAGCTCTATATATGGCCTAGACAGGTAGAATGACAGTAGTTCTCTAGGTTTCTTTTGATAAAATTCACTAAACAGAAAGGTGAGGTACTCAGTATAAATGCTTTGTATGCTATAGCTTATTAGTGCTTTGTAGGAGCCAAACCATGAGATAATCAGGTCTTCTGAAATAACATCTAATTCTCAAGATAACATGGCTGTCTTTTCACATGACTGCTGAACCTATTTCTTAAAATAGGTGCTAGCATAATGTTTGAAAATATTCACCATTATGGCAATTACTTAATCCTCCTCTAGTTCTACAGTTTTATAAGATATAAAAAAACAAATTTGGAAGAACAATTACGTTAGCATTAAGAGGTACTTCATTAAGACTTCCACAGGAACCAGAGGATAGGGGTCATTTAGTCTGAAAACACACTGACTCAGATGCACACTCAACTTGCTGTACCGTGGTAGGCGAGGGGGTAAGAGAGGCAGACCTCTACTCAGTAGGCTCTCTGGACACCAGCGCTTTGTCCAGAGCTGAGCGCTTCTGGCTCTGCTCCATTGGCCCTTGAAGGCAGTATTTCCCGGGTACCAAACATTGGACAATTTAGTTGGGGAACCCTCCAAAACAGCCTAGCTAAAAGGCATGTTTGTAGCAATTCAGCATTCTCTTTCTGCCAGTACAGGAACCTAGCCATAGACTTTCCTCAAATCGGATCCTAAAAGGCTCTGTAGAGAAGAAGGTGTACCAGACATATGAGGTCTGTCCAGAAAGTGTCTAGCCATGTAATATGAAAAATAGAGACATTTATTGAAGAAAACACAAGAAACTTTGTACATAGGACAATGATGCTTCAGTTCCCTTCAAAGTAGGCACCTTAGGCTCTCACACAGTTCTCCCAATTGCCATCAGCTGCCCTGTTGTATTTTCTTGAATCTCATTGACTATCTGAAGTCTCTTTCCTTCCAAAGGTGATTTTAGTTTTGGGAAAAGCCAGAAGTTGCAGGGCATCAAATCTTGGCAGTAGGGAAGCTGAGTCATCTTGGTGATTTGATGTTTCTCCAAAAAACTTGTGACGAGACGTGCTGCATGAGCGGGCACATTGTCATGATGAAGCTGCCAATCACAGGTTGTCCATAGCTGTGGCCTTCTGAGTCATCTGAATAGTTTCCACAAAGGAATGTTCAAGCTTAACACAAAATTTGATGCAGATTCATTGCTCTACTCACTTAGTCATTTTGAATGTGACAGCCACACAGTATACATGCTCACTCAATGGCGTCGACTGCCACCACTGACCAGTACAGTGAAGTCATCACTGTTCACACAAGCGCATACCAGTCCACTCTCCTTTGCTGCCAGATTACATCAATGTCATGCAAACCGCTCTCATTATATTAACAATGGCTGAACTTTTTCCATGCAGACCTTGTAGATCTTGATAAACTTCAGAGGCATAGCAAGGTCTTCCACAGTGTCTCCTACTCCTGCCAGCTGTGGGTGCTGATATAGAACTGCCTCCTTCTCTCAGGCACCTAGCCTTGATAAATCCAATTCCTCCTCTTGGTTTCCCCAAATATTCCTTTTTGTCACCTCCAATAGCTATGAACTACAACTTCATCTTTCCTTGATGGACACCAAAGTTGTTCTACGTTTCCCTTAAAAGGTAGTAACCCCAACTCTTGGCTGCACGGTAAAATCTCCTGGGAAGCTTTTAAAAATCTCAATGCCCAGGTGCCATACTAGGTCACTGGAATGGGATCTCTGGAGGTGAGACCCAGGCACCATTTTTAAATCTCCCCAGCTGATTCCAGGGAGCAGCTGAAGTTGAGAACCTCTGTTCTAGATGCCCTTTGCCTTGACCTGGATGAGGGGACCCTTATAATTCCACTTCCACCTTGAATACTTGGAGGAGTAGGATCAGAAAAGAAAAACATTAGAGGGCATCTTTATTGTGTTTTCCTCTTTTTGCATAAGTTGTCTCTGGAAAGGTCTCCACAACATTTTACTGCTCTCTGTGGCTTTATGTTTAACATTATATTTTGATACAATTTCAAATTTATAGAACACTTGCAAGAATTCCTGTATACCTTTCACCCACACTTGCCCATTACTTACATTTTGCTCCATTTTCTGTCCTCTTCCCTCCCATCCCATGTTGATATCTCCAGTTCCAACCCAATTATATACAATTTGCTTTAGTCTTCCCTTTTTACATATTTTACTTCCCTTCTCTAATCATGAGAAATATCTCCCATTAAGGCTCAATATATTTGCTTATTTACTAAGAACCAACAAGAAGTGCTTTCAGAATTGCTATCCTACAACACTGCAAAAAGCAAAATGGCCAACTAATGTTTAATGTTTGTTGACAGCAATTTTTCATTCTTAGGTAAAACAAACATACAGCAAAATGCACAGATGTTAAATGTATAACTTGGTGAGGTTTGATAATATATCCAGGCATGTAACCAACACCCCAAATAAGATATGTAAAATTTCCATTGGCACAGAAAATTCCAGGATTCCTCTTGTAGTCAATCACCACCTACCCACAATGCACAACCACTACACTAATTTCTTCCCATAGATTGGTTTTGCCTGTGTTTGTATGGTATCATATAGTAAATACCGTTGTTTTTGCTTCTTTCACTTAACACAGTGTTTTGAGATTCCTTAATAGTATATGAGTCACAACTTGTTTATCTACTCATTGATAATGAATATTTGTACTATGGTTTGGGGCTATTATGAATTAAGCTTTTATAAACATCCTTCGATCCATCTTTTTGTGGCTACAGTTTTGATTCCTCTTAGGTAAATACCTAGGAGTGGAATTACTGTGTCATAAAGTTTATGTACATGTAACTTTACAAACAACTACTAAACAGTTTTCCAAAGTTATTCTATCATTTTATGCTCCTATCAATATGTCAAAGGAGTTGTTTCACAGTCTTATCAAGATTTGGTATTGCAACTATTTTGAAATTTTGGCTATTCCCATTCTGCTGGGGGTGAATGCTATCTCATTGTGGTTTTAATTTGCATTTCTCTGGTAACTAATTATATGGAGCACCTTTTCACGTGCTTCTGGGTCATTTGTATATCTTCTATTATAAAGTAACTACTTGATGTTTGCCCTTTTTTATATTGAGTTGGCTTTTATTATTTATTTGCAGGAGTTTTTTGATTCATAGCATTTGTATGTGTGTATTTATTCTGGATATAAGTCCTTTATCTGATAGATTATGTATTGTGAATAATTTTAACCTAGACTATGATCTGCTTTTCATTTTATTAATGATGTCTTTTAATGAACAGAAATGTTGCATTTTGATAATATCCAATTTATCATATTTTTTCCTTTAATGCTTAGTGGGTTGTTTTTGTCCTAAGAAATATTTGCCTGCCTCTAAAATGCAAAAATAATCCACTATGGTTTCCTTTAGAATTTTAATAGTTTCCACTTTTATATGTAAGACTAATTCATTTTAAATTAATTTTTGTATCTAATGTTAAATAAAGTTGAACTATATTTTTCCATATGTCTATGCAGTTATTCCAGTACTATTTTTCAAAGAGTTTCCTTCCTTGTTGAACTGACACCTTTTTCAAAACTCATGTGACTATATATTTATGTATCTCTTTCCATATATATATTATGGATCTCTATATTATGTTCCATTGATATACTGTATATGTCTGTCACCAAAATTTCACTTTCTTGATTACAGTAGATTAATGGTAAATATTGAAACCAGATTTTGAGTCTTCCAAATTTACTTTTTTTCCCAAAATTGTTTTGCCTCATCCAAATTCACAAATTTGGGATTAATTTATTAATTTTTTTAAATCCTGTTAAAATTCTTATCATGCTGAATCTAGATGTCAACTTGGGGAGGACTGACTTCTTAAAAATACTCACTCTGACAATCTAAGAATACAATATATCTCTTCATTTATTTACATCTTTAATTTCTCTCAGCCATGCTTTATACCCTTTAGCATAAAGGTCTTACATGTCTTTTGATAAAATTATCCTAAGTAATAATTTATAATGTTATTGTATATAAGTTTTTTACTTTATTTTTCAGTTATTTGTTGCTAGTATATAAAAATGTAATTGATTTTTGTACATTATCCATGTGTCTTATTACTTTTCTAAATTAGTTTATTAGTTCTAATAGTTGTTTGTAGGTTCTTCAAAATTTTATACTTAAACAATTATGTGATCAACAAATAAAGATAATTTTATTTCTTCCTACCCACAGTTTATGCCCTTTATTTACTTTATTTAACTTATTTCATTGGCTGGAATCTTCAGTACAATATTGGTTAGAAGTAATATGAGTATAGATCCTTGCCTCAGTCCTGATTTTATGGGGAAAACATCCATTATTTAATCACTAAATATAATGTTAACTATGTCTATATATTATACTTACATACCTAATGTAAGTTAGATCTCTATTGTAAGATTAAGAAATGCTATTTTTATTCCTAGTGTGGTAAGAATTTTTATCATTAATGGGGGTCGAGTTTTATTAAAACCTTTCTTCTGTATTTATTGAGATGATAGTATGTCTCTTCTGTATTTTGTTAAGGTAATGATTTATACTGAATAATTCTTGAATGATAAACAAATCTTACATTCCTGGGATAAATCTTTACTTAGTTATAATGTATTATTCCTTTTTTAGAGATTTTCTTTATTTATTTTTAGAGACGGGAAGAGAGAGAGAAACAGAGGGAAACACCAATGTGTGGTTGCCTCTTGTGCGCCCTCCACTGGGGACCTGGTCTGCAACCCAGGCGTGTGCCCTGACTGGGAATTGAACTGGCAACCTTTGGTTCACAGGCCAGGACTCAATCCACTG